CATCACATGCGATTATTAATTAAAATCTAAATCTAAATCCCATTCTACTAGGTTCCTGCTCTTTTTGTCCAATAGTCAAGTTTCACCCCAGTTCAACGAATCCATGCTCAGAGTTCCTTTCACCCACAATGTCACAAAGCACAGATTCGATACGTGATGTCCTAGTTTCTGGATGACTTTTGTCATGCACTGCATTTTGTAGTGACACACGCGTGCACAACCTTTTGTAGAACCTACTGCGCCCCCCTCCAGATAAGCCCCAAAAAGATCGAAAAACATGCTTTTTATATAGAGACTTTAAGGAGGAAAAATGAGACAGATTTGGTTCAAAACCGATCAATTGAATTTGAAATTGTGCGCTTAGATCGTTTTTGCTGCCCCATAGCATTTCCCCTAGTAAATGCTGTGACCCATTTAGTAGCGAATCATTATTTTTCATTGCAACCCGTTTTCACTACAAAATGGTTCCGTAAAGTCATTTTGTAGTGACCGACATTGGCTTTTGATCCATCATAAAAACACCCAAACCATTTTGTAGCAAGGGGGGTTGGTTCAGATTCAAGCTTCATTTTGTAGTATAAGGCTGTATTTGTAAACGGTTTAGTGGGCACAACTTCTCTGCAGAATGCACACAGGGATTGTCTTATAATCTAGTATAGTTAACTGAATACAACTGATCTATACTGATACAGCAAAAATATTAAATGCACTATGGTTCAATCATAGTATTTGGGGATATCCGGGACTTGAGAACAAACCAGTGGAAGAAGTTTAAAACTTGGCTGAGAAGTATGGCAGTTATGGCAGTTGAACCAACTGATAGCTGACATTGGTCAATGGCCATTTCAGGAACCTAAATTGGAGGTACCTAGCATATATAAGGTCTATATAAGGCCTATGTAAGGGAATATCCCCAGAAAATATGGCCTTATATGGTACAGTACCTCCATTTTAGGATCCTGAAATTCCCATTGAATTGGTGGGTGGTTTTTAGATAGTTTCCATCCCCATGATGGTCTCCAACCACTAAACTTTGAGTTGAGATCACCACCATTCACCAATCAGTTGGAGATGTTCATGTTTTTTTTCTTAGAAAATGAGAAGAACAGATTGAAAGATGTTGCGCTTTTGTTGGACTCCAAGATTTGGCTTCCAAAGTGTGGGGAAACTGTTTGTGGGCCCGAGCCTATTGTCCCCAGGTGGCAATGTCGCCCTTGCATTTTTCAGGCGGGGGCAATCTACAGTTCCGAAGGTTTCCCATAGTGAATCACCATTTGGATTCCTCAGGTCACAGGTCAGGCCACAGGCCTCAAGTCTCAGGTTTCTCAGGTTTCAGGATGTCAGATGATGTGGGTATGGGTCAATACCTATAGATACATTTTTAGTGGGATGAACATCCATTTACCAGCTATTTTGATGTTCACCAGGGGTACAAGGTTTTGACCCATCCCCAGATGATGTCAGGATGGACCTTTTCTTCACAGTTCCGAGTTCATCCCCTTGAGGTGCCTGACAGCTGCTATCGTCGAGTGACCAAAAAGGCGCGTGACTAATATGTGTTTTTTATTCCTGGACATACAATCTCAACGCTGGAGTTTGTCTCCAAAGAAAGGTGATGAATGAATGACCTCAGTAATGACCTTGAGGTTTATGTTTTGGATCCTTGCACTATGTTTGCAGCAATGTCAGGGCTTGGTAAATGTCCTAATCTGTCACATCACCGAACGAAAAAGGGGATAGAACCTCCAACAGAAACTTGTTTTGATGTTCCAAAAATCCCCAGTTGAGGATCAAAAAGGGACAGAAAAACCCACCCATGTGTTCTTTTCGACGAAGTATACGTGGGTCTTTGATCTACCTAGCCTCGATTCAAAAAGCCCAGGGATGTTCATGTTCCATCCAAGGTGGTGCCCAAACGTTATAAATTGCTTCATAAACCCCATGAATACTATAGATATATCACAATTATCACAATTATCACCCATATATCACATATATATATATATATCACCTATATATTACCTATATATCACCAACAAAAACCATAGTGAAATTGGAGTTATTTGCCACCTTTGTGGGGGATTCCCCAGACATGGCTTGCTGTTTTCCCCACGAAACCGAGACAAACTCGCGACTCGGCTGGGCTCAAGGGATGCCGCGAGTTGGCTCGGCGCCAAAAGTGTGCCGCTGCCGCTGCGTTTGGCAAACAGTCGGATGTTGGCTCCAGAAAGATCCTGTTGACGTTGATTTTGATGGTTTTTTTTGTTTAGAAGATTGCTTTATAATATATACATATATATATATATATATATATGTGTGTGTGTATGTATGTGTATATATATATATATACGTGAAAACCCAACAGCAGATGATTTGGGGATGTTTGCGGTACGCGGTATGCCCAACTTGAGATCTCAAATAGGTCTAAGCTCTGCGTTGCACACTCAGCATCAGGATAGGCTTCCCTGGATGGGCGAAATCAGTCTTCCTAGGTCGATAGATCCATCTTCCAACAAACTGTCTCTGTCATCCCACTGGCCTCCGAGAGTATGAAAGAGCAGGGCCAGATTTGACAGGGGTTGGTAACTTTCCCATTTTGGGTATATTGGACATCACCTTATAGTAGCCATTATAGACCATATACCTATATAATGGTTGGGTGATGTTCAATGGGGACATTTAATGACCCATGTTTGATGCTGTGACCATTATGAATGTGTTCATCCCTGTAATTCTTCGAAGGTTTCTGGAGCCTCGAATGCGTTTGTCCGATGCGGGTGCTGTCGCAATAGGGGAGATGACCCTAGACAGTTGCTTCGCTGCATTTTTGCCGGCGGAGGAAGAGGCAGAGCAAGGCAAAAGTCAAAGTGTGAAGAAAATGAAGAGATGTCACTGTTACTCAGATGTAGCAAGAGCAGCCGGCTAAGCTGGACCGTCCTTGGAATTGCTTAAATCGGGCGATATACATGTTTGGTCTAGATGTTGCTCCCAAAAGTATGCGAAGTTAAGTACACTAAAGACCAAGATGCATCTCGGAGGACAGGGGTCGGTAGTGGCTGTCCCACATGGAAGTAGTCAGGACCATACCCACTGGGATGGTCCTATAATCCTCAGAGAAAGGTCAACATCCTTTCAATATGTACTAGCCCTTTGATATGTTCATCATATTTGCAGGGATTTGACTTGTTGACATCCGCTTGACATGTTGCAAAAATGCTCTAATACCAATGAAGTCCTATCTGATTTGACACGCACCATTTGCCTGGCTCTTGCCCTGTGGCTCAGCATGCCAAATGATCCAGTTATTGTGCGCAGAGGGTCTCACTTTGCTCCCACGTTTCTTTGCTCGCACATTTGCGGACGACAAGTTTGCTGCCACTCACCGACTCATTGGGTTTATCACATTGCCAACCTTCGGGACCTCTTTTCATAGCCCAATCAATAGCATCAGTCAGCAATTTGGCTCTGAAAATCGGGTCAAATAACACCCCGGATGGCCATCGTACTGGGGTAAATGATGATTACCCTCTGGTAAACATACAAAAAGCTATTGAAAATTGACATTTATAGTGGATTTACCCATTAAAAATGGTGATTTTCCATAGCTATGTTAGTTTACCAGAGGGTAACCATGAAATTTCGGGGGTGTCCTGTTTTCCAGACCAAAAATCATCACAGCCTCAGTTTCCAATGTGGGATCCTTTGGACCCGAGTCGCCATCAACCATAGCAAGGTTTGGCGTGAAGATGGTGGCGGAAAAAAGTCTGCTACCCAAGCTGAACAGCAAGAAGTCTTGCCACTTTTATAATAAAACAGTAGGAATGATTTCAGTATAATATATATATATACATATATATATGTATATATATTGATTAATCAATTAATCAATTTACACAATACACACATATGTTCATATAATATTGTGTTTTCATGTCATATACTGTATACTGTATACATATTATATGGACATACCATATGTATAGATATTATATATCTAACACATTTTTTGGATGCATATATTTTATATATATACACACATATTCCATATACATTCATATATTATATACACACCTTGTATACATATCATATATACATATTATATGTAGACACATTGTAGATGTTTATATATTATATAATGTAGACTCAATACAGACACTACATCGCATTGCATTACATTCCATTGCTTACATACATTTGTTTGTATAGATGTGTCACATGTCCATGTAAAATTATATATTATATATATGCTGACACTCGCCAAGCAAGGGGTCTGTGACATGCCTGACAAGTTGGCACCTGTGGGATCGACACCAGCAACCTGCATATTTTATTATATAAGATGTTGCCGCTGGTTCCACATGTGCAAAATCTGCAAAGCATCATTCCCGATGGCACATCAATAGGATTGTAAAATAGTAAAGGCATGTTTGAATTTAAATAGGATGACATCTCTGTTATTTTGTGACATTGTAGAGGGGTCTTTGAGCTAAGGGTTGACAAAATGTGTATACATGCGCATTGGAATTTCACCCCCGTAATGTGAGCACTCAACCCTTCACTTGCATCATTTATTGCTTGAGCAAAGTGCTTGGAGTTTGCCTTTGGGGGTTTAAACCGTTCACCGGATGCCTCTGTCATTTTAGGCGCGTTGCCACAGTCATTTTTTACTCAAGGAGAGTTCTGACGTTCTGACAGATAGCATCAACAATACCATAGCCCTTGATCAACGCCAACAAAGGCAGTGACATCAACTACACACATGCACACACACACACACACACTTAATCACCCCCTCAGCTCAGAGTCGCAGATTGTCGAAACATCAGAGGTGTACATCAGCCAATATAGTCAAGTTTGGTTTCAATCCCCATTGTATAAGTTTTGGACCCAGTTGGAAATGCCATCAAAAACATCAAGCAAATATCAGAGCCGATTCCCCCATCCCAAAAAAAATATGCAAGTAGGAAGATTTTGGCAATCTGTTCAAAGTCCATTTTTCACCACACTGCCGGGCCACTGGGCGCATTTCGCATTCACGGAGCACTGGTGATGCTCAGTAGAGATTCTTGTTTGCAGTATGGTAACAGCGGGTTTTTCGCGATCCCCAAAAAGATCTTAACAGTAAAATCCTTCGCAAATAGTGATAGTTTGTCTTTCTCGTTGGGGGTGCATGACTGTGAATGATTATGAATGGTTGGCAGGTGAGAATCACAAAATGCTCACACCTGTCATGTTGAGTCATGTTTATAACAAAATGTTGGAATTTCCCAAGCGGCTGCCTGACCTTTAGAATGACATCCCAAATGGTGGGTTTCCCAGTTCTCACAGGCACATGATCCTGGATTTGCTGGAGATGACCCCCTTGATGTTTCATCAGTCAGTCAACCACTTGGGGGTACAATGGGACCGATGAACCACTTGGAGGTTTCAGGTGAAAATTCCGTCAGTAAATTTCAGGCTTGCCAAATGTCCTATTTGGAGGTTTCAGAGGGTTGCCAAAAGACACCAAAACAAACGGAAACCGCTGTTTCAATATTGGATCTACTCATGATTTGAGGTCTCATATGAGTGTCATACAATATTCGGGCGAAGGGATTCTATCTATCCCACGTTTTATCTACATAGTAACTTGTTTGACTTTAATTCTAGTGGAAAGTTTTTCAAACGGATAATTTCCCCTTGTTCATCTCGCATTGTTCGCAATGTTCCATTTATGTGTTTTTCCTAGTTAACCTAACGAATTTTTGGAAGAGCCTTAGGCCCTGCCTTGGAGCTCCAACTCATGCGATCAGACACCAAGGCGGTTCGCCCCGCGAGCCGTCAAAGCACTTGGCGTGCCATGGCAGCTGCAATACGAGCAGCAGAGAAGGGGCTGGTGGAGGTCATGGCCGGGAGGTGGGATATGTGAGTCCAGAATGAGATAGTTTATGTTTTTTTGTGATTGGATATTTGTTGGGATATTTTTGATAGGATATGTTTTTGGGATATGTTTTTTTTTTTGGGATGTTAATGGGATACTTAATATGAGTTCATAGGATTTCATAGGACTTAACAGCTGTAGAGGTTTAAAATAAACCTGGGGTTTGATTGAACTTATTGACCATCCGTTTAAGGGGTTTTATGTATGTTAAAGAAACTATCTAAGATAGGAAATATACCTGATACATGACGGTTGATATGGTTGATGGCTTTGGGGATTGTAATTTACATTTATTTCTTTGGGATGATGACAACGCATCGTTATACCTCTTAACCAACTAGTATGCTTCTTTTTCATTGCTCATATGGACGTGGTTTTCAAGAATAGGGAATGGGGAAATCCCAGATTCTTCCCGTATGTAGAATCTTTACCAACATCTACCCTCAACGGCAGGCAAATCTACCATACATGGAGCATTTGCGAACGGTTTGTTCCTTGAGGGTAGAATCTTAGAAGACTTATGTTTTGGGAGGTGCCATTGAGATCCTTATACGTTTATATCAGTCTATGTTTTTCAAAAACCATTCCTGCCAAGAATGGATAGAACGCATTTGAAAGTTGTTTCCATGGTGATATCTAGAAAAGGGCGATAGGCCTAGCAGCCATCCAGTGTCAGAGGAAAGGGGCAAGCCGAGAGGCTCAGTTGGAATGTTGGAATGTTGATGAGACTCAGAACACAGATTCCTCTAGTCACCAAAGATGGAAATCTGGGCCATACAGGAAGGGCCCCCCTGGATAGGTAAGTTGCATAGTAGTGTATACCTAGGCCCAGAAGGATTTGGGGTGTATACTCTGTAGAGTGTTCTCAGGGTCCAATTCCAAATCTCCGTTCCAACAACAAAAAAACATGGCTTGGCCCCAACTTTCAATGACCATTTCACCACCACCCCAGACAGCCAGTTTGGTGATCCTGCTGGGTTTGAGTGCAGGGTGCTTCTCCGAAGCACATCATACGAGCAGCGACCAAAGCGGCCAGACGCATTTGTCAGGAGGTGCCATGGAACAGAGCCTGGCAGAAAAGCATCCGCGATGATGCTAGGATGCTATCCTTCCCCGAGAATAGATCAAAAACATCAAAAACAACTTTGCTTCGATTGGCCCAAATGGGTGGTTTCATCATTTTCACACTAAAGGTAGGCCATTAGTCATTAATTAATCCGTTACTTCCCATTGTTGCAGACCCACAGGTTTATAGCCATCCCAATCTCCCGCAGGTCCAAGCAAGAAGGACGCGTGCCAAAGTTGCGCGGTCCCGAAGGCACAAGACGTGGCTGCCGCATGGGGATGATTTCCGAAAACTGAGATTGTTGCAAAGGATCAGCACTTGTTGAACCATGCAGCGTTTGGGGTGTCGAATTCTGACACATGCCCAAATTGTAAAGGTCAAATGTCAATTTTGTGGTTGCCCTAAAGTTTTCATGGTTTGCAATTAACATCAATTAACCATCTGGAGGTATGATCAGAATCCTCCGGAATCAGCGGTTTTGGATCATTTGGATCGTCCAGCAGTCCAGAGATGGTCAGGAAACCGAGCTCAAAGAAAGCCTCGGAGACTTCAGGGCTCCAGGTGCGCCTGGAGGATGGGGACTTGGCTCCAAATGGGGGTTTAACATGTTTTGATCTGTCTTAACCACATTTAACCATAAAAACTGGGGGCACATGTCAACAGCATATCAGACAAAGATAGATTAATAAAATATCTAACCAATCCCTATGGTGTTTGGTCAAGAGTTAAGGCCCAAAGAACCATAGATTCCATAGATGGCCTTGCATGTTTTACTTGTATTTAGCTTATATACCATCCTATTTTGGGGGAGCTGTCCAACTATGGGAGGCACTGACCGTTATCAGATCCACAAATTGCATGAGATTCGTATACGAAAATAGGGGGTGCCCAACCTCAATCATGGGTGCTCCCTGATCTTCAGTATTGCTGACCAGAGTTTTGATGGCCTTCAAGATGTAGCTCCCCCAGCACCCCATGGAGCCGGCAGGCTGACGCTCAGTCCCTGGCAACGAGGGCAGCAACTTGTCGAGAGGCAGAGAGGGGTGCCTTCCTGATTTTCGTGAGGAAATTGTCCAGGGCGTTTGATGGATTCTGGACCATTTCAACGTATTATTATGTATTATTTAGAATCATGGATTCTGGACATTGGATGCTGATTTTGGTAAGTTTCAAGGCAGAGACGTGTTTTTAGAATAACTTGAAGATATGTGAAGTGAAGATACCTTGTGGTAATTTCACGTTTTTGCTGAGGAAGCTATGGCCCATTTGGTTCGATGAAACTACCCATTAAAAACGGAATGATCCATGGCAAAGTGTTGATGATTCACCTGGGATGATCTTATCATTAGATCTTCATAGGCACGGACTCAACTCATAACTCGCTCATATCAGCTCTCAAGTTGTCTTTTGGTGATGCTCTTGAGGGCTTAGAGCAGCTAAGAGAAGTTAAAATGGGTGAGGTCACATCAACGATACCTGCTGTTTGACAGGGTTTTTGGGCCCTCACATCAACAACTAAGCAACACACAGGGGAGGCTCCGCTCGATTTTGGGTGCTGTTCAAATTGGCCCTTCAAGATCAGGGGGGTCAGATACAGAGGGGCGGCTCCTGCTTTCTATGAGATCTTCTGAATCACAATGATCTTGGATACTCACTATCAAGAGGATAAACATTGTAACATATGATGCATGCATATATATATATATATACAATTATGTATATATCTTAGATATGGTAATTATATTTGATGATAACATATGATAACATACTGTGGATGGTTGCGAAATCCCCAGTTGGTGACTATGAAGGTACCTATGAGACACTGGGAGTATAGTGCTATTGTAACAAGATTATGATATACATTCATGCATGCATGCATCCATCCAAAACCCATCCATCCATCCGTCCGTCCATCCATCCATCCATCCGTACATACATATGAGCAACCGTAAAAACCCCGGCAATACTAAATATGTATTCGACGGACATTGGTTTATTGAAATTGATGGAAATTGTTAAAAACACAGGGTAAGCGATGGGACCTTCCCAAATTAGCGATACCCCTTTTCAAGGATATGTCATCATATTTCTCTAATATCCACATTAGCGATACCCAAATATCACATATGATTCATAGTTCATCACATATATATATATATAAATGCAGCAGTTACCTGCAAGCGATACCCCCCAAGTTTACCATATATCATTATTGTACAAACGTGTGGTAAGCGATGGGACCTTCCCAAATTTGTGGATGTCCTTTCCGTGAACCTAGGGTTTTCACAACCGCTCATATATGATGACAATGACGATGACGATGACGATGACGATGACGATGACGATGACGATGATGATGATGATGATGATGATGATGAGGATGACGATGATGATGATGATGATGGTGATGGTGATGGTGATGGTGATGATGATGATGATGATCTTAGATATTCTCTATATACTATATCTAGCATTTGATAGACATATGATTTCAACAACTCGAAAACTTGTGGGTGAAGCTGACAACGCCAGGCTTGGGACGCCACGGGGGCTGTGAAGGTTATCCAGGAAGCTGCGAAACGGATGGAGCTGGAGCCCCCAACTGGCTCGGGCTATGGCCGAAACCATAGGAATCCAGGACCATTGTGCCATTATGGACCATGAGAATGGGAAGATATATATATATATTAAATTACATACAGGATATTTTATATTGTCCCATATCCATATTATATAC